ATAATAAAAGTGAAACATAAAGTTGTCCCAGTGCTTAATTAATTAAGCACTACGCCTTGAAGACGTATGGGACAGTGGATGTATAGATCCACATTTTCTTGACCTCGGCACTAGCTGGAGGTGAGTTGTCAGCTTCACGCCCAGGCCCCTTTACTCCCGGGAAACAGCCCCAGGTACCCATTGTATAGAAGATTGGGTGAACCCCAGAGCTGGTCTGGACTACATGGTGAAGAGAAAATTCTTGACTCTACCGGGACTCAAAATCCGAACCCTCGGCCGTCCAGCCAATAGCCAGTCGCTATACCGACTGCGCTATCACGTAATAAAATAATAATACACGGTCCTGACTCTACAAGACAGACCTGAGTAAAACTTTAATACAAGAATCAAAATGTTACCTAAGTGATCAAAAAAAGAGTGTATGAGTTACATCATTGGGCATAACTCATTCACGTGCCTGTACTTATTGAACGTATATATTTATTGCAGATTCTGCAGATTATATATAAAAATGCGAAACATTCCATGTTTTTAAGTTTTATGTTCGTTATTTAATTGCAATGTCAGTATTGAAGCGCCGTAACGCCGATGATAATATGATTAATGAGTTCGGTAGGTAGTTTGTCGCTAGTCTTAATTAATTATGCACTAAGTCATGAAGGCGTGTGTGGGAGTGGAGCTATAGTTTCATCACTGGACGGAGGTGAGCTGTCAGAATCACGTCCCGGCTACTTTACCCTTGTGGAAAGAGGCTAGGTGGGCCTCAGAGCTGGTCCGGATGTTTTGAAGTAGAGGATGCTCTAATTTCCCCTGCCAAAAGGATCGAAATACAACTGTCCAGCCCGTAACCTATCGCCATACCGACTGAGCTATCGTGATATAGTCTAGTGCAGGCTTTAACTCATCTTTTGTGTTTGATCTCTCTTAATATGTTCTGTTTACGTGTTTTTCTTTCAACGTCAAATATTTTCTTTCTTAGGACAAAAAAAAAATTGTATTTCTTCTTAATAATATTTAAAATTTAAAATTTGGACGTCACTGCGTCTATATTATGAAGACCAACTGGTTGTTGCTGTTAAGGAAATATTCGCTGTTTGTTCTGAGAGTCATATTAAACACTTATATACATTGTGTTGGCACAATTCCTGTTGAAACACGTGGTTCATTTATTAAAAGAAATTATTTAAAAGTCAGTTCACGGAAAACCACAGGTTCTTTTCCACAGAAGCAAAGCATTTTAGGCCTGTGGATTGGCACATACTGTAACCTACCATTCAGCAAAATTCAGCACTGCTCATGAATGTTGCAGCGGGAACAAATTTAATCTTTTTTTCTTTACAGTAACAAACGTTCTGGCGCTTGATTTGAACAGCAGCCAAGAAATGGCAGCTCAAAGAAGACGCCAGTGTTTGAAATACCGAGTCGGCACATGACAGAGTGGGACACATGATTCCCAAACAGTGCTACTCTTCGTCCTGGGCTGGGAAAGTAGATAATTATAAAAAGGAATTCCTAAACTTCACATGTAAAAAGGGTAAAGCTATCCCTGTAAGAGGCCGAGAGGCCAATAGGGTTGTGAGGCATCGAGGATCCCACATTTTCTGTAGACAATAGGCTCACAGTTGGCGGTGAGGTTGTTGGCCTAATGCGCTGGCTGCTCTTTACCCCCCAGGAAGAATCCTGGTACTCATTTATGTTAGAGGCTGAGTCGATCCCAGGGCCATAGTGCCGCTTGAAGAATTAGGTTAATTAAAAAATCCAGCGACCTAATCCAACGACCTTCCGGCTTGTAGCTTATTGTTTTAACCAACTACGCTACTGCGTGCACCCAAACGTCAGATATTCCTTTATTAATTTATAAAATAAACATATTTCAAGTCAGTAGATCCATAACCATAGTTAAATTAAGTCCACATACATTTATATGCTTATTGACATTTTGGTAAGAATCCTATTAAACTCGCTCATTCAAACACGCAGTATGTAAACAAAGCTTGCTTGAAGAATAACATGAAATGAGACCACTTTAATGACAAGAAAAATAGAGGCGAATAATCTTTCATGAGTAGGAAGTTGGGAAGAGACACGATTTTAACATTTTCTTGACAAGTCTAACGGCTGGATTTTGTAATGCCAGAAACATCATTTTGTGTTCAAAATATGTGGAAATTATGGCTCAGTAAGTCTAAAATATGTATCTGAAATATAAAACCTGCAATTGTCGGAAATGACTCGTTATTGATTAAATTGCGACAATGCAAAAACGATTAAATTCAGAGAAACTACGTACCCTACTAAGCTGTTAACAATAATGCTTCATTTTTGGATAGTCCTGGCTTCATTCTCGTCACCGTACATCGTCTGTTCTAACCAAAACTTTCTTGGTCTTCATCAATCCCTCGAGGAAAATTCTGAAATAATAACTTGAGATCGGCTAGGTCTTGCCACAGCTCAGGCGGTCAGTCGCCGGCTCCC